AATGTTCCATGTGCACTTGAGAAGAATGTGTATCCTGTTGCTTTTGGGTGTAGAGTTCTATAGATGTCTATTAGGTCTGTCTGTTCTAGTGTGTTGTTCAGTGCCTCTGTGTCCTTACTTATTTTCTGTCTGGTTGATCTGTCCTTTGTTGTGAGTGGTGGGTTGACGTCTCCTAAAATGAATGCATTACACTCTATTTCCTCCTTTAATTCTGTTAGTATTTGTTTCACATATGTTGGTGCTCCTGTATTGGGTGCATATGTGTTTATAATGGTTATATCCTCTTGTTGGACTGAGCCCTTTATCATTATGTAATGGCCTTCTTTGTCTCTTGTTACTTTCTTTGTTTTGAAGTCTATTTTGTCTCATCCAAGTACTGCACCACCTGCTTTTTTCTTCCTGTTTTTTACATGAAATATCTTTTTCCATCCCTTCACTTTTAATCTGTGTCTGTCTTTGCATTTGAGGTGAGTCTCTTGTAAGCAGTATATAGATGGTTCTTCCTTTTTTATCCATTCTGTTACTCTGTCTTTTGATTAGTGCATTCAGTCCATTTACATTAGGGTGATTGTTGAAAAATAAGTACTTATTGCCATTGCAGGCTTTAGATTTGTGGTTACCAAAGGTTCAAGGGTAACTTCTTTATTATCTAAGTGTGTAACTTAACTTGCTTGTTAAGCTATTATAAACACAGTCTGAATATTCTTTATTTCTCTCCCTTCTTATTCTTCCTCCTCCATTCTTCATATGTTAAGTGTTTTATTCTGTGCTCTTTTGTGTTTCCTTTGACTGCTTTTGTGAGTAGTTGATTTTATTTTTTGCCTTTAGTTAGTATTTGGTTGGCCTGCTTTCTTTGTTGTGATTTTATTTTTTCTGGTATCATCTATTTTATCTTAGGAGTGCTTCCCTCTAGAGCAGTCCCTTTAAAATATCCTGTACAGGTGGTTTGTGGGAGGCAAATTCCCTCAACTTTTGCTTGACTGGGAATTGTGTAATCTCTCCTTCATATTTAAATGTTAATTGTACTGGATACAGTATTCTTCATTCAAGTCCCTTCTGTTTCATTGCATTAAATATATCAATCCATTCTCTTCTGGCCTGTAAGGTTTCTGTTGAGAAGTCTGGTGATGATAGCCTGATGGGTTTTCCTTTGTAGGAGACGTTTTTGTTCTCTCTGGCTGCCTTTAATACTCTGTCCTTGTCCTTGATCTTTGCCATTTTAATTATTATGTATCTTGGTGTTGTCCTCCTTGGGTCCCTGTGTTGGGAGTTCTGTGGGCTTCCGTGGTCTGAGAGACTATTTTGTTCCCCAGTTTGAGGAAGTTTTCAGCAATTATTTCTTCCAATACCCTTTCTATCCCTTTTTCTCTCTCCTCCTCCCCCTCCCTCTCCCCCTCCTCCTTCTTCCCCTATTATGTGGATATTGTTCTGTTTGGATTGGTCACACAGTTCTCTTAGTATCCTTTCATTCCTGGAGATCCTCTTATCTCTCTCTGCCTCAGTTTCCCTGTGTTCCTGTTCTCTAATTTCCATTTCATTAACGGTCTCTTGCACCTCATCCAGTCTGCTCTTAAGTCCTTCCAGAGATTGTTTTATTTCTGTATTCTCCCTCCTAACTTCATCCCTTGACTCTTCCATATTTCTCTTAAGATAAATCAGCATGGTTATGACCTTTATTTGGATTCTTTTTCAGGGAGATTGGCGAAATCTATCTCCCTTGGCTCCCTCTCCGGGCTTCTCTGGGTGATTCTGGAGTGGATCAGATTTTTCTGCCTTTTCATGGCTATAGAGGTAGTTGTGGACAGTTGGCGAGTGTGTTAGTTGGGACAACAAAGTCCCTTCCTGCTTGCTGGTTGCCTTGTCCTCCTTGGAGCAGCTTCCAGTTCCATTCTGAGCTGCCATGGGTGGGGCAGCCGTTGGGGCAGCCCAGAGCCCTGTGGAGAGTGGTAGGCATGCCGGCTGTACTCTCCTGCAGGAATGGTGACCCATGGCACCCTGTTCCCGCTTCCTCTGTGCTGGGCTGCTGCATGCCGGTGGGGCCTCTGCATCTGGCATGGGCAGCTGCAGAGGAGGCTCTGGGCAGCTGCTGTGGGTTCAGCCACTCTCAGGCTGCTCCCCTGGTATGGTG